ACTGTTGTTTGTCAATGTGTCTGCCTCTTTCACTTCCATTGGGCACAGCATAGTCAGAGAGAGACAACAGTGGGTCTTTGTCCTCTGGGGAGATTGAAAAGGAGGGGCTGTATAAGATGGGGTTAACGAAGGGGGGTGTGTGGTGTTGTCAGGAGATGGAGGAGGGAGGGAGGGCCACGCGAGGTTAAAGTGGGGTGGGGCAGTGAGGTCTGATAGCAGAGCGGGTGTTAATGGGACCTGTGGGATAGTCAGGCTCCTGAGTGCCAGAGTTGGGAATGCATTTAGTAAATCACTTCTTTTGCTGTTGAATAGGCTTTTAAAAATAATTGCAATTGCATTAGCATTGGTTTAGCTTTTTCACCAAGCATATACAAACCGCATGTACTTTATAACAAACACAATGGACACTACAATATCTCAGTGATTCTTCTCACTATCAGATCTTCTTGGAATAATCCAGACTCTGCCCCTACGCTAATCCAGCATGCTCTGTAAATCTAAAGATCCTCAGCCTTTACTTCGCTGTGCTTTATCACTTTGGACCTGGTAATCCTGGAGCACCAAGAGCTCAGCCTTCCCATACATCACCTTGCATGACACTAAATCCTGACTTTGGGAGGACCGGCTTCCCAACACCTGTCCTCTTCTGATGCTTTACAGCTAATATACTGGCTTTACTTCAGAAAAATGCTTTGAAATACAACCTGTGGATCTGGATCAGCAGCAGGGAAAGAATTGTAGAAAGGAAAAGATGAAAGACATGAGACAAAACATAGACAAGTAAAATTAAAGGATCAGGCCAAGCTAGAGCACACTGAGTAAACAAGTGATGTCAAAGGAAAATAAATTTGGTAGTTTTGCTTGACTGTATTTGTCTTAAATGAATTGAAAAGGCTGGATGACTCTCAAACCAGTCACCCAAACAGTGGTTTACCTAAATATTGTATCTGGGACACGGATGTATCATGTGACAAGCACTTCTGAATACTCTCCATTTATAGTCATTTTCAAATCAAGTTACCACTCTGTGCACACAAAGGCAACATGCTGTTTGGATGTTTCTTAGACTTAATTGTCCTCTGAGGCTGTTGGTCAAGTCATTACTAAAACCTCATAACATTGATCTCTTAGAGATGAAGCTAATTACGAGGCCACTGAAAGCTTCTCGGATCAATAAAATACATTTTTGACAATTGGATAATGTATGGTAACCCCTTTTTCCTTTGGTCAAACTGTAAAGTTAAGATCTTTTGATGAAAGAAGAAAGATGCATTGCAAGGGAAGCTGGGTAACAGCGTTTGAGCTTTTGTTTTGACACCAGTGTTCTTTTTAAGAAAACTATATGTATATATATATTTGCCCTAAAATCTATACCCTACTATCCTTTTTTTCTGCTTTTCATTTTTGGTAAACAAAGCAGACAACTGTCAAAACTTTCTAGCTAAACCATATGGCCAAAACTTTTTTCGTATTTGTAAAAAATCCCCAAAAAGATTCTTATTGTCACATATTTCGGTTTCCCAGCTCAATAGTTAATTAAACATGCAGTATTTTAACTGACAAGCAAAGTGGACTAATTCCTGTGGAAGTTGGATTTGGAACATAACAGTGGTCTTGCTTGTTTGCAGTGTTTTAGAAAAGAAGGTAAAATAAGCAGAACCTTCTGACTACTTTATCTACAGTTTTTGTATTCTTATAAACAAGCTCAGGATATGTGGGGCTCTTTCTTTTAAAACTATTAAATGAATTGGTGTGCCCAGGTCTACTACTGTAAAAGTCATAGGATGTTTTGGTTTTACTTTTTTATCAATTTGATATGGAAGCAAACAACATGGTTGATTAATGCTTGATTAATTAATGCTTAATTTACTTACTTAAGACACTGTTGATCCACAACATTCAAACACATCATTTCTATAGGCGGCTCATTCACTGTTACAGTTTATGACTTTTAAAACCTTCTTGTACCTTCTTTCTCTTGTGTATTTTTCTTTTTTTTTTTTTCTCGTTTCGTGCATTTTAGTTGATTTGGTCTTTGCTCTCTCTGGTCATGATTCCTGGTTTTTCGGACTCTATTCAGTTTATGTTTGTCCCAGATTTGAACACACCGTCTTATTACTCATAGCTATGTTTGTAATTCAGTTTATGTTTGTCCCTGTCTTTACAACCGGACGAAAAGAAGGCTGCATTTGTCGGTCGCTTACAAGAGTTGTTGAATCGGGACAGGCAACCGCGCTGCACTAGGATGTAACCGGCCAAAAAATCTGACCGACAGATTTGAACACACCGTCTTATTACTCATAGCTATGTTTGTAATTCAGTTTATGTTTGTCCCTGTTAGAAAATTTTTCCTTGATTTGTTAATCCTCTTCACCTTCATTCCTGGTTTGTTTTACCGCTTTCACCTGCTTTCCCCGCTACTTAAGGTATCATCTGCCAGAATTAATTGAGTCCTTAGTTCATTTTTCTATGTCTCCCAATCCACACTGTTTCGTTTTGGTCCAAAACAACCAATCATAAGTCATCTTTAACTGGCCTATGCACACTCTTTTGGTGTGTTCTGTTTGGGCGGCTGCATCCTCAGAAGAACCTGGTCTACCTGGACTGGGTCCTTTGAAGGCCATAAAAATTAGGAGGCCGGAAGAGTTCAGCTATAGATTCAAACAGGTACAGCCTTCTCCGGCTGCCACCGCCCCTCACTATGCCCATACACTCTGTCGCCTAGCAACTGTGACATTTAAAGATAAAAGCAGGCAAAGAATGGATGAAAACTTCTCACTACTTTTCTGTATGCTAATTATATTATGTGGAGCTTCAGCAGTAGTACATTGCAAATATAAGATTTATACATAGACCCCACGGTGCACAGATATTGGAATCTGTGCTTAAATGTCAGCCAAACTCAATTGCAAAAAGGACAGATAAAAGCTTTCAATAAAACAAGCATTATACATCACATATATGACCCAATAACCATTTAAAACAACTATTTTCATTAATTTAAGACAAAACTATTTTCATACTTGTATTATATGTGACTGTACTTTCAATATTCAAAACCGTTTTTTGCCGTTTCCATGCACGGAGCAGTGGGCTTGCTTGGACTCGCAATGAATCATGGGATCCCCAATGGTACAAAGGATACACCGGACCCATCTTTACAACCGGACGAAAAGAAGGCTGCATTTGTCGGTCGCTTACAAGAGTTGTTGAATCGGGACAGGCAACCGCGCTGCACTAGGATGTAACC